GGGTCTGGGGTGGGCACCGGGGGTTCCCCGGCAGCCTATCACCAAGCTGAGGGAGTGCAGGGGGGGCTCGCCTGTGTCCTTGGCGGCAGAACCGGAAGCGGACTGGAAGTACTTCTGGTCCACTTCCAAGTTCCCCACTGAGCACATTGGGGGGGGGGGGGGGGGGGGCGCACCCCCCCCCCCACCAGACCCAGAAGTAGACCAGAAGGGATGCTACATCTGCCCCACCATCACAGTGTTCACAAGCCGTGCCTGGTACCTCGAGGTATGCAGAAAAAAAACCTGAAAGCTGTGTCTATATCCAAATCGCCGATTCTCCGAATTGGTCGGCACCAAATCTTCAGATCTGGATTCAGCCAAATCGAATCAGGACAGTGAATCAAATCAACCAGTCAAATAACTGTTCCCGATTTGGGCCAAATCCAAATCGAATATGGCCCGTTTCGCACACCCCTAGTAAAATGCACCAATTGTGGATTGTTATCCAAAATAGTACCATTAACATGCCTACATTAAACTTAAATATATGAACCACTATTTCAGTTTTACTGTAAGGTGGCCTAACATGATCTCAGTGGCAACCTCACATACTCTCACAACAATGGAAAACATTTAGAGACTATAAACTTCATTAGATGGCTACTTTAAATGCATACAATGGACTATTTTCTTGCAATTGCTAATTCAGTGAAATACAACTAATCTGGAATGAAATGCTCCAAAGTCCTCACTACCACTCCCCATATAATTAGACTTTTAAAATGTATAGTTTTTTTTAGCATTTGTTAAAATATTTAGTATTATAAAGGAATCTAACATTTTGAACTGACAATCATTAGAGGCAGCAAGTCAAATCTAAGTGCAAAGAAACAATTTCCATCTAATAAACAGGAATCCCTCATTTATATTTGTACAAATTAGTTTGCAACCTATGGATCATTCTTTCATCATCAGTGCTAGTAGTGGCAAAAAGGCTATTTCTTTAATATGAGAAGTTTCCTTAAATGGACAATAAAAACCAACATTTTTAGTTTTTTTCAAGCATACTTTAATACATTCAGGATTTTAGATTTTATGTATACAATATAGTGAAATTATGAACTGTACTATGCACTATAAACTGCAAATAATTTATCCGTCAATTCATCCAATTGAAGCTTGTCTGTCCAAATCACTAAGCAACATGTCTGGTATTTCTATGCAGCTACATGACCCCTCCGCTCAGGAATTCCCAGGTAGAGACCCGTGGCTTTGGGAATTCCCATGAGAGACGTACTCAAGTGGCCCACACAGACTTTCAGTTCTCTTGCAGAGCACATTGATTTTTTGTGAAACTCAAAAGAAAGAAGCTCCTTGTGTGTTCATCCCGAAACATTAAAGTTTAGAAACAGTATTAATGGCATAAAGTTGAACGTTGTATTTAATTGCATCTCTCTCCTTTACCAAAAAGCATCTGAGTTTGATAGAAACTTTGACTGAAAGGGTCATTTTAAATCAAGTATCAAAAACTTACAAGACTACTTCAACTCCTTTTGTTTCACTTCTTGCTGTTGCAATACAACTGAATGAAAACAGTAACTGTAGCACTTTGAGGTAGATATGCTCAATTTGAAAATGTACCAAACTGCTACATCACGTTTGTTCCTCAAGTACATGCTGTTATTTGATGTACACAGAAAAGTAAATATAATATTGGAATTTAAACTCCCCTGGTTACCAACATGCATGCTTTTCATCTACCTTATCTTTGTCTTCCACAACATCTGCCAGCACATCATCAGGGTCCAGGATCCCTCCATCTGTATACTCCAGGTGGTGAATATTCACCCAGTAAGCAGGGTCCTAGGGAGAGGGGAAAGAGACACTGTCAAGCTTTTTAAAAAATTGCTAGTTTGATCAAAACAAATATTCCATTAGACTAGTCTATGTTTTACTTCCCTCTTCTTTACTAAAGAGAAGAACAAAAGAGAATCTATATTTGATCAAATTCTTCACCTGAAAATAGTTTAATAATATCGGTAGATGTTTCTTCAGGAAAAAAAAAATACTCTTTCTACCATAATATATTGAGCAACATGATCCTAAGCCTTGCTCTGTTATACACTTTAATTCTTTGTTTACCCAATATAAACAAGGCCAGATTACGGTTATATATGGAAAAAAGTAGATAAATCAAGGTGTTTCACTTGATTTTAAAAGAGGATTTACTGTCTTACAAACTTATGAGGGGTTTTTTTTTGCTTTGTTTTTTAAATTATGCCCCCCCCCTCCTGGAGTATTTCCTGCATATGAAGGTAATATCTATCTCCCAAAAAGAGAGTTGATACATGGATCTCTAGAGGTAAACTGTACAAAATAGTATTCCCAATCAAGGAGCTTGAGTTATCTGTGCAACTCAGCAAGATACAGTAGGAAACAAGTTTCAGACCTCTAAAGATACTGCATTCCTCATATCCTTAAACCTAACTACTCCCTTTTAATAGAAGACTTAACCCTTCTTCCCTCACAGCAAAAGGACAACTCCAGTCCACTTTAAATCAAGAAAGGCCATAAACATACAACTCTATGACAGAACACTGAATCAGCAGTTAGTGATCAATAATGTTGGCAAATATTATGCTGACTTGCTCATCCTTTCTGTAGCAAGCTAAAAATTTTTTTTAAATGACAACATGCTTAAACTACATAAAAGATGTAGATGAAAAGAGAACTGTTAATGCCTTTGAATTATAGCAAAAAACAAAGAATACCATTATATACTTAATTCATGCCAGTCTATATGAAAAAAAAATAGTTCAGATATTCAGTACAGGGGACAATTCTAAAAGTTGAAGGGAAGGTTAAAGAAAATGCCATTACTGATAGATGAAATCAGCACCCACAGAAATTCCCTGACTACAATAGGCTGAGGAGCAACAGCACAGAGCTGAGGACGGAAAGTTCAACTGGGACTTTCCCTGCACTCTTGCATCATGTTGCATGGTTATAATGTCAGACTTCCAACTTAAACTGGTCACTGATTGAGGGAGAGAGCGCAAACATGAAATGATGTTGGAATATAGGCCCTGTGTTCCTAATCTCAATCACCCTCTTCTATATATTGCTTGCTCTTCTAGTCTTGCCTCCCACATTTTTTGCTCCCTTTAACAGCCTTTCCTTCTCACCTTATCCCATTACCTTAACACTTGAGACAAAACTAGAAAAAAAACAAAACAAGAAAAGTTAAACCAACATAATACTTGCCAACTATGCTGCATCCTTTTCCTCCACTCCTCATCTATGTCTGTAGACTACTAGGTCCCTGAACACAGGCTCCAGCCCCTACCCCAAATTGCAGCTATAGCTGCAACTGTTGCCTGCACCCCCATGCCTACCACCTCTGCACCCTATCTTCCTCCCACCACAAAGCCTCTGCTCCTCTGCCTGCCCCTGTTCCTCCCCTTCTTACCTTTGCTTCACGCCAGTAGGCTTTGTGCATGGCTGCAGCTGTGCTCAGTGCTCCAGGCTAGAACAGGAATGGAGCCTGCCAGCATGAAGCAAAGGCTAGGGGTAAGTGGAAGACAGCAGAGGCAGGAAGGGGCAGGAGAGACCAGAGGCTGGGGGGGGGGGGGGGGGGCAGGGGCGAAAACA